TGGCAGTGACCTGCTGTCAGGCTTTGTCCTTTCTGCCACCAGCTTGTTTGTTGGCAGAAATATTTGCTATGAGACAGCTGCTTGCCCAGCCCTTTTCCACCCACCCAGCTGGGGTATGGAAGGGCAGGAGGACTTTTCCAGATGTGCACAGCTCTGGGTGTAGCTCCCACACACCTCAGGGCTGACAGCTCTGCCCTGGCGCCAGTGACAGGCCCAGGGCCAGTCCCCACTCCTGGGCAGAAAAAGGGAGGACCCAGGAGCCTGGAGGCCTGAGCCTCACCTGGGAGCTTGGGAGGGACTCCTGCACATACCCAAAGTCCTTTCCAACCTTCCTGAGGCAGCACTTTCTTTCTGTGGGTGATGTAGAGGACAGAGAAGTATCCTGATTTAGAAATCCCTGGATTTCCATGGGCCTCTGAAGCCCAGAAAAAGAGAGCAGCAGCATTGGAGCAAATGTGCCCAGCTTGAGGTCTGGAGATAAAGGAGCCCTTGCAGAGCTCTGGAAGGGAACTTGCTCTGCCTCTTGGCTGGGCAGATTTGCTGGAAGAGCCCCTTGCTCCCACCATTCTTCTTAAAAAATGCATGTATAATATATTCTGTGTGTAGGGAATGTATGTACACTCTCTCTGTGTCATTGGACTCTCCTGGGAGATGAGCCTCAGTGCTCCCAGGCAAGACAGGGACAAGCTGGTGACACCCACTGTGCTTGATTTCACCAGCCACAAACCTCTGACTGTCATCCTGGGAGCCCACACGCTCCAGAGGAGAGAGGACAGCTGGCAAACCTTCGAGGTCAAGGAGTACCACTGCCACCCGGGTTTTACAAGCCCTAAGAAGGGAAATGACATCCTTTTGCTGAAGGTAACCTGGCCCTGACTGCAGAGCTGAGCTGGAGCAGAAGGGGACGGTGGATTCCAGGCCAAACACTCATCTCTGTGTTTTCTGTCCCCTTGCCCAGCTGAATGGCAATGCCACCAGCAACAGCCACGTCAGGCCCATTTCCTTTGAGAAATCCAAAGTTCGTGGTGGGAGCGAGTGCAGCGTGGCTGGCTGGGGCTACAGGACAGCCACTGTCACCCTGCGTGAGGCCACTGTCACCGTCATCAGGCAAAGGGACTGCCTCAGCCACTACCCAGGACTCGCTGACAACTTGATTTGTGGCCGCAGCAGATCCTCTGGGGTACCTGAAAAGGTCAGTCTCTGGTCAAGGAGGAGGAGGAGGCTGAGGGGGAGGTTTTAGCCAGGGACAAAGCACAAGGGAGAAGAGGAACCTTGTCTGCCATGGCACAGGACCTGGGAGTCAGCAGGGGGACAATGGCTTGGCCAGAGGGGTTCACCCTGAATCTCATTGTTGGTCTGAGTCAACAGACCTGAAGCCAGGTCTGAAGCCAGCAGAAGGGCAGAAATGAAGCTTCAGTGTTCCCCCAGCTGTGTCCTTGACTAAGCTGCCACCAAAGGGATAACTCTCCCTTGTGGAGGCAGAGTTATCCCCATCCACTGTGAGCCCAGGCCTCTGCTGGGGGAGCTCTGTGCTGGTGTTCGCAGCCTCGCTGTTCTTTGCAAAGGCACTCCTTCCCATAACCCAGCGCTGATCTCTCTTCCTTCCCACAGGGTGATGCTGGGGATCCGCTGGTCTGCAACAACAAAGCCTATGGCATCTTCTCCTACAGGCACAACAACTGGCCTGGCTTCTACACACACATCGCGCCTTTCCTCCCCTGGGTCAACAGCGTCATGAAGTCAGCGTGACCCTGCTCCCCCTGCAGAGCTCACCCTCCACAGCCCCGTCCTCACCAGCTTCCTTTCCCTTTCTCCCTGGGAAACATCTCCCACTGCTCCTCGTGGACGTGGCAAGGACTTCTCTGTGGCCAAGCCGAGCTGTGTCCGTGGTGGGGCTGGCACTGAGGTTGTGCCCTGGCTGTGTTTGTCCCCTGTGCACATGGGGAGTGCCTGCCCTCCTTCCCTGCTGCCCTCACTGAGCCCTCTGTGGCTCCAGCTGCGGAGAGGG